AATAGATCCAAAATTGTTAAAATTGAAGCAGATGTTAACTTATTTTTCAAATCTTGAAAACAATCATTACACTCTTGTGTCCAAACGAAAGGAATTCCTTTTCTAGTCAACCTAGTTAAAGGTAATACTAAATTGTGAATATCTCTTAATAAATCTTCTATAATATCTTGTCAATCCTAAGAAACTCCTGATCTCAGTGATGGTCTTAGGCTTTTCCCAATGCACTATAGCCTCAATTTTACAAGGATCAACTGACACTCCTTCTTTTGATATAACATGTTCTAAAAATTTAACTTCTTTCATCCAGAATTCATATTTTGAAAGTTTAGCATACAATTATTTGTCTTTTAAAATTTGTAAAACCATCCTTGGATGCTTCTTATGCTCCTAGTCATTTCTATAATATATTAAAATATCATCAATAAACACCACTATAAATTAATCCAGATAAGGCCTAAAAGACTTGTTCATTTAATCCGTAAATACAGCTGGAACATTTGTTAATCCAAAAGGCATTACTAGATACTCATAGTGTTTGTATCTAGTCCTGAAAGTTGTCTTTGGAATATATTCAGTCTTAATCCTGATCTGGTGATATCCTGACCTTAAATCTATTTTAGAAAATATTATGGCTTCTCTTAACTGATCTAAAAGGTCATCTATCTTAGGCAAAGGATATTTATTTTCAATGGTGACTTTGTTCAGTTGCCTATAATCCTTATACAACCTCATACTTCTATCTTTTTTCTTAACAAAGAGCATTGGTCCTCCCCTAGGTGACACACTTGGTCTCATAAACTACTTTGATAGAAGTTCCTCTATGTGTTTCTTTAGTTCAACAAGCTCTATGGGTGACATCTTGTAGAGTGCAATAGAAATTGGACCTAATCCAGGTATCAAATCAATGAAAAATTCAATTTATTTGTTTGAGGGTAAACCTGGAATATCGTCTAGAAAAACTTCTGAGCATTCAGAGACAGCAGGAATACTGGTTGCATCAGGTTTAACCTTTATTTCTAAAAGATTAAAGAGAACATATCCTTGTGCTCCCTCTAACAAATTCTTCTTAAGTTGGAAAGTTGACAAAAACAAATATTCATTGGGAAATTTTGACTTTTTTGTGAAAATTATATTTTTATCATGACAATAAATGACCACACAATTTGGAGATAAACAATTCATGCCAAGAACCACATATATGTCAATCATAAGCAAACAAACTAAATCTATCTCAAACAACTTCCCTTCGATTCGAAGAGGACAATTTTTGCATACTTGAAATGTGGTTATTTTTTTTTCTAATAGGAAGAAACACTTCAAGATAATAAGGTACATAGAAATTGGTAACTTTAACTTTTGAGCATAAGATAGGAAAATGAAAGAATGGGTAGTCCCAGAATCATAAAGTACAGTTATAAGAAAATCTTGTATTAGGCCCGTACTTTGAACCAAATTTAAAATCTGAGCTGATTCCTAGCCACTTCCCTTTTGTTGCAGGTTGGTTAAATGAATTCTCACCTTGATTTTGAGGGCACTGCCTCATCATATGTCCTGACTTTCCACACTTAAAGCACACTTTTTTTTGCTACTGACTTTCCACACTTAAAGCACACACTTTTTTTTGCTAGGCATTCTCCAATATGATTCTTCTTGCACTTTGAACATATATGAATCTGAGAATTCTTTTGACCTTCATTTTTCCTTCCTTCATTATTGGAAAAGTTGTTTCCCAAGTTTTGTGCCCATAGAAACCTTCTTTTATTGTTGTCATTATTGCTTCTCCAATTTATAACTTTGACTCTCTCCCTTAACTCCTTAGCTTCCACCATGCTTGCCTCAAAATCTAGAAATTCCTCAATTTTTGCCACATATTCACCAATAGTCATATTTCCTTGTTTTAATTCATGAAATTTTATTTCTTTCTTGTTTCTTACACTTTGAGGAAAATATTTTTCCAAAAAGACATTTTTAAATGTTGTCCAAGTAATCTTTGTTTCTTGGCTTTGAAAATATCTTTTATTATTTGTCCATCAATGGTCTGCTTCTCCAATCAATATATATGTGGTAAAATTTACACGATGATTATTAGGATAGTCCATTACCAAAATATTTCTTAAGTTCTTTAACCCATTCCACCGTTTCCTCAGGGTTATAATCTCTACGAAAAGTGGAAGGTTTATGCTTACGGAATTCAGTTAGTCCTTTGTAATCATGATTAGGTCCTCCCTGAGCATTTGCAGATCTAGGTCCACTTTCACTTTTAGAGTTATGAGTGTGATTTTTTATTACACGGTCTTCCCTCGGCTCTAGTATAATTTGTTGATTTGTTATAGTCTGTTCTCTAAGAGCTTTTGGTTCAAAAGTTAAAGATATTTGCCTTATATTTGTCATAGATGTACATATATTATTTCATAGTAGTGAGTTGATCAGACACATTGCTAAATAATTCAAAATATGCATGATCTATGACAAGATACTAAATAACTATATTACTTATGAATAATTTAAGTCTTTTATTTACCTGAATCGCTACTCTGATACCATAAAATGTAACGTCATACATAAAACAATATTTCACACCATTTAAATTATAGGATAAACCAATACTATCATTATCATAATTAATTGTACATAAAAGAGGTGCAATAAGTGCATCTGTTTCGTTCCCGTGATACAAACACACCAACTATTCACATATTACATCCTACTTCCTACTCTTATTTATTTGTTACATAAAGTAGGAATATAAGTTTGAGTGTCATTAAGCACCCATTTAAACTGAACTGTTTCTATACGGTGTGGATAAAATGTGGATAAAATATAACAATCACTCCTCGTGTTCTAAGCATAACACAAAAATCAATTTTTTCTTCATCAATGAAGAGCAACATCCCTCATCCATCCCATGTTAGGAAAATGCTTGGCATGATCCTGTTATGGATAAGTTAGCATAAATAAATAAATAAATATAGTGAGATAAATTTCAGTAATATTGATGTTTTTTAACTATAATCAGTCCAACCACAATAATGAAAATATCATTTTCTCATGTATGTACATGAAATAATAGAATAATAGTAAACATAGAAAAGAATGTGTCATATTTAACTGAAACTACTAAAGAGCAAAACTCTGTGAGTATCTGCATGTGAAAGTTCTGATTGGCGGAGCTCAAACCAACTAAGGCATCCCTTATCATATTACTGTCTGAACCCAAATCTTTGTGGATCAGTTCACATCAAATTTCAATTAAAATTACATATTCTATAATTATTTGTATTTGGTACCAAATACAAATAATTTAACTAACAACGTTTCTTAAGATTAAACATAACAATATAATATTAAAATGATATAGAACAGAAAAAGAATAGAACCACATAAGAGAAAGAGAAGTTCAGAGAATAATTTTGTTCTCTCAGCATTACCTTTCTATTAACTTTCTATAAATTCTTTCTGGGAATTTTTTTTTTTTTTTTTTTGTCTCTCTCTCTTTCTTCTCCTTAAAATTTAAGACCCGAAACTTATTTATAGATGCCTTCTCGCTTTCACTTTCACGCTATCTTCGTAAATTTTTTCTAAGATTCCAATCATTACATGGTAGTTGACTAGTTAGATTTTTACTACAAAATACTATTCTATTTCATTACTTTTTCCATTTTAGTTAGATTTCAATTATATGTTACTCTTTACTTTTGCCACCTAATCTGATGATTTTTTGCTAAGTCAAGTCATTGTATTTTATATATATCCATGCAACGTGTTTCTTATATTATTTTAGTATTTATTTATTTATTTTTATTTTATTATTATTACATTTTATAAATATATAATATTTATTATTATTATTATTAATATAGCGCTGCAGGCGCCCTTTTTTTCTAACAATACGGGACTAGATGCGTAACTATCACACAATTGCATGGCGCTTTAAGAGCCCAGCTAAGACACATCATGCCCTTCTTACTTACATAGTGGTGCTTATATATATATATATATATATATATATATATATATATATATATATATTATTATATATATATATATATATATATATATATATATATATATATATATATATATATTATTATTATTATTATAATTTAATTTTTATTATTATTTTATTTATTATATATATATATTATTTATTATTATTTTATTTTTTATTTAATATTACACGAAGGAGCTTGATTTCTAAAACTACCTTATTCTCCATCAATTTCAAAATATTTGTCCTTAAGGTAAATGCATAAAGGCTAAAAAATAATAAACAGCCATAATTGTAAACAATAATAATAATATTTAACTAAATCATCTTCCATCAAAATTTTCAACATACTGTTACTTCATTAATATATTCTCTCATTCTATTAATATCAACAAGTGAAGATAAAATTTTATAAAAAAAGATTAATACTTTTTAAAACAAGAAAATCAGAAAGTAATTTTCGTTCCACGACAGGCATTTTAAAATAGAAGGTATAGAATTTAAAACTTATCAATCTAATTAAAATTGTAATCATCGTCACAAGGCCGTGAAACAGTTTCCTTCCAGCACTCTCCAGAATACAACATCCAAAATATAACCTTGAAACATTAATCTTTATGTGCATTACGAACTCTTCGCAAGTTAATTATTTTCTCTATCAGATTTAAATTTTTAATTCACTGTCGTGTAACTTTCACGGACAATCAAAATTAAATTATTTCTCCCATAGGCAATGTTTAATTGTCTTCAAATCAAACCTCATTTACATTTTGAACAACAATGAGTATTCATTCATCATTACTTAAACAATCAGTGATTCGGGATAAACATTCATCTATCAAAACATATCAACAATAACAGTATACATGCAGAAAGCGTTACTAACAATAACATATTACAAATATAGATTTATAGATACACACCTATGTACACATTTTACAAAAAGTTGTCTTATCCATGTACAATCGATCTCCAGAATGGAGTTTTCGTTAATCAAAACATTTACATGGGGCACAAAAAAGCAAAAAATATATATATATATATATTAAAAAAAAAAAAAAAATCTTTCAGAATAAACAAGTTTAACAATTTCTATACAATCCCCTTCTCTTAAGGCTGATTTAGAGTACCCTAAACCTTGACAGCAGTTCAATATTCACAAAGAATAAAATATTTTTTTATTTTCAGAATATGTTAGAACAGTACTGTTATCAGTCAATCTGGGGAGATCCCAGACAAAACATATATAGCAGCAAAACTGTGGATTTACATATTCAAGGAGAGATGCATCTCTCTAATAATCTTAAAGTTCCAATAGAAACCCACAAGAAAGCACAAAAAGCAATAAGAATAGGGAAGAAAAGGAATGAAAAACCCTTTCTGCCCGCTCTCTGCACAGTTGCAGTGTCTTTACCTGCGACAACATTTGTGTTCTTCATCTTCACCCTGCTGAAACTAGACATTCGATTCAAAGCTCGGTTCACCAAAGCATTTTCAGCAGCTGATGCAGGAGTGGTAGGTATTGATTCAACAAAGGCCCAGAGAGCAGAGGAGAATCTACTTGTAGCAGTAACATCTTCTACATTGCTACTTTGATTTTCATAGCCTTCAGTAGGAAAGCTGGAAGGTTCACATACAACACCTAAAAATGACCAGAAACTAGCATATATTAGGGATTGCCTGTGACTTTTTTTTTTTTTACAGAAGAGCCACTTTAAAAGGCTCAAATGTCATTTTCACATCAGGAATATAATCTTAATTTTAGTTTTTATAGCTCTAAATGATGGCACAAAATTTATACTCCAGAAAGGTTTATGCCATGCATAAGCTGGAATGTCAACCAGTAGCAGTAAACCGTGAAGAGCTCAAGCAGAAATGAGATGGGAAGCTTGCATCTCCACCCAAATCAAAGAAAGAAAAATCATTATTTGGCAGTTGAGCAACAATGTAACTTGTGCTGATGACTGTACCTGGGGTTGGTAGAGAGAAAGAATCAATAAAGCCTTCTGCTGAACCCTGGGTGTTTCTTTCACCATGCATCCAGAATTCACCATCAGTTTGATTGGCCTCCTCTGGATTGGGCAACAACTCGTAATTTTGATTTTCAACATTGCTGCCAAGGGTATTCATATATTCATGTGAAACAGTCTCGTAGGTAATTGGCCCCAAGTCCCGAAGAAACATCTCCGCATCTTGGTACAGATCAAGTTCACTTAAACCATCTTCATACTGCAGGTTCTCCACAGGCTTTTCCATAGTTGTCGATACAGGTTCAGTAACAATGAGATCATTAATTTCCAAGAAGCCTTCCTCTTCAAAGTAAAACTCCTCTCTTTGAATGTTGGGAGCAGAAGTGACCTCAGGTGCTTCAGACACATGGAAGTGAGGAGTAACTGACTGAAAGTCAAAGCTGGACTGAACATCATAATGCTGACTGCTAGAGTGAAAGATTCCACTTGACTCAGGGAATATCACGGCCTCGGGGAATTGATCCACAACGGTACTTTGTGTTTCTTCAGTAACAACCTAAATGATTTATGGAAAAACCTCAGTCAATCACTTGTAGAAATAACGTTTAGAAATTAAACGAGCAAAAAAAAAAAAAAGGCAGACTAACATTACAACCAATAAATATCAGAAATTAGCAGATACTTGCGTATACATTTTAAAGAGAAACTGCCTTCCTTCCTGTTATCTTTATTAACAGCAGAGATATTCAAACATGGTATTATTGTCTACAAATCCAAAGCCAGAAGTACATATTTTCCAATATTTTGATTAAACAAGACAAATTTTTACCACCTAAATCCCTTTAATCAGCTGCGAAATTTTGCTGTCAAATGGAAGTCAGTTTATAGACATCAAGATAAAAACTTGAAAGAGTGGAAAATAAAATTTATGATTACACACTTAATGCCTACTGATAAAGGTTTCTCCCCCCCAACAACCAAAAAGAAATGAAGGCAGGAAGAAAAAAAAAATAGAAAAAAAATTGGAATATCACAAACCTGAGGAAAGTCAGGATAACCATTATTCACATGTTGCTGGTCAAGGAGAAGATCATCATCCAAAATTCCTTTAATCATTTCCTCAATTTCATCATCAAACAAAGGCTGCAGCTGATCATTAACATCATCAGTAACGATATTTTGAGCCTCCCGATCAGCTGAGTTAATATTGAAATCCACGAGGCCATCTTCTGCCCACTCTTCTTCTTTAAATGGTGCACCATATTGTTCTCCATTTTTAGGACCAGGTCCACTTTTCTTGAAAACCTTGTAAAGTGCATAATAGTCCTGATGATAAATATATACCAAAACCAAAAATCAGTAAATAATACTCTTTCCAAATCAAAATTAGTAACTAAAACAAATAAACAAGAAATTCCAGGCATAGCCATTTGAAAGTGATACCTTAACACCCTGGCATCTCTTAAGCTCCTCTTCATCCATGGTGTATTCATGCATAACCCAATCAGTCCGCTCACCACTAGGTGCTCTACCTCTATAGAAAACCAGGGTCTTTTTCACTCCAACTGCCCGTGAATTGCATGTCACATTACGATCCTTTCCTGTTGCTTTCCAGTACCCATGTCTTGTTGCTCGGTTAGACCTACCACCATTGGGATACTTCCTATCTCTATGACAGAAAAAGAACCATTGCCTATCTCCAGTTTTCAGTACAGATTGCCCTGCAAAACAATACAAGATATCAGTAATCAAATAAGAAAAAATTAATGGGTAGTCAGAATTATGTTAATCAAATTAAAGCAATATTGAGATTAAATTTGACAGATGAGTAGCAATGCACCAGAATCATATCATATCTGTATAATTCCTTTGCATAAGCGGCAAAGCCAGAAAAAATTGTATATGAACAAAAAAATTGAAATGATGCTCACAACTAAAGGCTTTTATAAATTTGGGTTTTTTTTTTGTTGTTGGGCAAAAAATCAGATATAATGCTCAAATCTAAATGCTTGTATAAACTTGAAGGGGGAAATTCTACCTCCTCCCTTGCTCCACCACTGAGATGGGAGTAAATAGAACCTGAGAACTCTAAAAACCACAGCTCCCAGAGATAGTTACGTTACATTAGCAAACAATATAATCCCAATTCCCAAACATAATAAAGATTGCTAATTTGAAAAGAAAAGAAAAAAGAGGTCAAAAAGTGACAAGTAAACCAAATATAGAAACAGATCATCACATAATTCGGATAACTCGCGCAAACACCATAACAGGAAGAAAAAAAACGCATTAACGGTAACACCCATCAAATAAACATCTATAACTACCTGAATCGCTTAAATCAACAAACCAAGAGAACCCATATAACACACAAAAACTCACAGAAGCAAACCCAAGTCAACGCTTGATACTCTAACCTGAAAAACACATTCAGAGCATCACTTCATCAAAAATAAGAATCGAACATAACCTGAAACGCTTGGTACTCTAAACAATATCTACAACATGAAGATCTAAACATCTATACCTAAATCGACAACTTCTAATCGATCAAACAAAACCAAAACATAAACAAAAACATAAACAAAAATAAAAAATAAAAATAAAAACCCAAACAACATATAACCCCCTACCGAAGCAAACCAAAATCAACGCCATAACAATCACCAACAATAAAGGATAAAAGGATTTATCACATAAGAGTTCAAGGGCAAGAGTAAATACCAGGCAAATCCTCAGGATCACACTTGTACACATCAGTTTCGCGAATCACGTTGAACTTCGGCTTCTTCCCGCAAATCTTCCGCTTCAGATAGTACATGACCAGTTCCTCATCCGTGGGATGGAAGCGAAAACCCGGCATAGACGCCATCGCGTTGCTAAAACACTCAGCAGAAGCAGATTCCGAAGCTTCGCCCATTCTCGATCGGAAGAAAAAACAAGTAACCCTCGATCACCCAACACCAAAAATCCAAACTTTTTGAATCAAAACCGAAAACCCACAACTGTATGATACTATCCGAACCTTTAGGTATTCGAAGTCGGAGATTGAGTCGCGGGATAAAAACGCTAATTAGAGAAATCAAATTTCGCACCCCGAAAGAGAAGAGGAAAAAAAAATCCAAAATTTTCGAAACCTGGAGTGGCGACACCAAAATCCCACAACTACATATATGATTCGAACCTCTGGGTGTGAGAATTCGAAGATTGAGTAGTAGGGGGAAAAAAAACCCAAATTGAGAGAGAGCTTCAAATGGAAATTTGGGTGCGTGCGAGGAATCTTAAGGTAGAGGGGGGTATTGGTTGGGGATAGAGTTGTGGTCAAAGAAGGAACCTGTGAGTAGTGGTTAGGAACCTTCCTTTGGAGAGAGATTCAGTGCCTTCGAGTGAAGGAGTGAGAACGTGAGCTCATTACCTTGATGTGATTGCGCGGGTTTTAAGCTTAGATCCTGTGATGATGGTTGTTGATTGGGGTTATGGGTTTTAAGGCTGTTCCATGGGTTTCATGTAGGTTTGGGTGTATGTAATTGGACTAATGTGTGTGAACATTGATTTTGGTTTGGTATCCCACACCCCAAAACATACTGTTATCATCTCGTCACTTGTGCAAAATTAGCGTGTTGGAATTGTTGACAATTCTTTATTGTAACAAATAAATCGTCACTTAGTAAATGGTCAGGTGTTTGAATCAGCTTGTGAAAAAAGTAATACACTGATTAATTAATATAAATAAGTTTTTCAAAAGTTTAATGTTTTAATGTTTCTACAATAAATATAGATAAATTATCTATAATTATTTCAAAAATAACGTTAAAAAATTAAAAAATTATAACGAGAAATATTATTATAATCTTGAAATAAATTATAATTACAAAAATATTATAATTTTCGTCCCAAAATGACCTTATTTTGAGTTCAATGTAAATAACTTATCTACATTAACCGCAAAAAAAATGAACCCAAAATTTAATATTGTAATTAATTTTTTGGGAGGAAAATAACTCAACGGAGAGTTATTTTCTCCTGCTAATGACCTTTCGATTTTCATATAGTAACTTTTTTAATAGATATGGGAATAAATTTTTATGGGGCGTTTAGTAGAAGAGAAAAAAATTAAACTAGGCAAAATTAATTAATGGAGAAATGATGGGAAAATGATTTTGGTAGGAAAGTTTAAAAAAAGTTGTTTGGTAGGCCGAAATATTACCGAAAAAATTGAATTAAATTTGCTGAGTCTATGTTTGGTAGAGGTAAAATAATGATGGGATAATTGATTAAAATTACGAAACTAACCTTTTTAACTTTTGAATAGAGGCAGAAGAGCTTAAGGTCATTTTCGTCCACTGATTCATGCACATTTTTTGGTTGCCTGGGTAAACAAAAAAATACCACCTTGGGTATGGGTTTATGGAACAGTGAAAAAATAAGATTTTTTTGTAAAGAAAACACAAAGGCTAGGCAAATTATTTGCCTATTTAAATTTTGTTAACTCCTCTACCAAATGTGGGCAAGTTCAAAATCCAAAGGAGTTTGCCTAGTTTTCTCTATCATAAACCTCTACCAAACACATCCTTAGTGCAACTGATGCACTGAAGATTCAGTGCATTTTTCATTTATTTTGTGACGCGTAGACAAAAAAATATCACATTATTTGGTCAACTATCATTTAATTTTTCTTTTTTTTCAAATGATGTGATGTTTTTGTCCATGTTTCACAAAATGAATGGGAGATGCACTGAATCTTTAGTGCATTAGTTACACTAAAGATTTATTCTATGTGTAGGCCCCACCAAATGATGTGTATACAACATAAGATAATTAACTTCTATTGCAAAAGAAAATCGAAACCCTTAATTATATGTTTAAATATGTTGATTAAAAAATAAGATTAATTGTTTTGTTAAAATTATTTAAATATTTTTATTGTCATTTTAAATAGAGTAAACACGTTTTTGAGTCCTCAACAAAAAAATATGGAACCCAGTTTAATCTCTTAGAAAAAAAGTACCCGTATTAGTCTTTTTTGAGAGACTAATATGAGTCTTCTTTAAATTTCATATGGACCATGATTTTAAAGAGCTGGAATTTTAGAGGGAACAAAATTCAACTTTTTTTTTCTAAGATACTAAAATAGATTCCGTGTTTTTTGTTGAGAGAGTCTTGTCATATAACGAAATATCACAAATGAGGAGAGTAAGAGATTATTGATGTGAAAATTTTTAATTTGAATATTAAGTGAAACACTGTTGTTTCACTTAAATAACACAGTATTTTATCCCTCAAAAGAACAAACACTTCTCCCTGAAATAAAATATATATATTTGTCTTTTTAAAGAATGTAATTTTATGGCTTTTATAGTATTTAATAAATTATTTTTATTTAAATTTTTAATTAGCTAAATAATATAGTGAAACATTGTGTTTCAATTAAGATGAGATAAAAAGATATGCCTTAGGATACCAAAAAAAAAAAAAGATATGCCTTTTAAAATAGCAAATATTTTTTTCCTAAAATAAATATAAAATAGTTTAAAATACCATTTGTTGGATAATAATGTGTGAATCCAATTGACGTAATAATAATAATAAAAACTTAAAATCATAGATTCAGGGGGAAAATAAGGCCAAAAAATAATAACTTTAAATCTTACAATCTCTCAACCTTCATAACTCATGCATTGGGTCGGGGCCTATTAAGGGGTTACAATCTTGTTTCCCCGTAGTGAGTATATGGATCTCACATTTTCTCTCTCAAAGCATTAGGGAACATGGTTCCCAAGTATATATACTATTTTTCTCCATTGGAAGAGCCATATGCAAAACACTATTTTCACGAATTGTTACTCGGTCAAAATATATAACTATCATACCCATACATATTTTCTCTTTATCAGTCTCGTTAGAGATTGCACCTACGGTGTCTTACATGGAGCTTTGGTCCATATCAATACTACTTCCAGCACCTACACAAAGATATACATCACCCATTACGCGATACAACCAAGCTCTAATTCCACGACAATCCAAATATTTTGGATAGGGATTTTGGTATTGGTCTAATGCCCACTCTTCTAGTCTTGTCATAAGGTTTTGGACTCTACTATTAGGAATGTGGCTTCCATACTTAAGAAAGGGTAAATTGAGTATTACAAAATATTCGCAACAACCCTTCTAGTTTCTAAGTTATCATTTCAAGCAAACTTTAATATATGAAAAGCTAATCAATACATTCAAACAATTCATTACATATAATATATCACAATTATAAAGCATATGCTAGCACATACAAGATATTAAAGAGTCAATTAAAATGCTAGAAATAAAGAGTGAAGGTTTAAAAAAATGCAAACTCAATATATCCTGATTCAGTCATTACTGCTTGTGACCTACGTTAAGACTGAAACTGACCGATCAATTCTTTCACTATTCGCCAAGCTTCACGGGTGCTTGACAAACCACTATAAACTTCACAGACATCGGGCTCTTGGATGCCTTTCACTCCAAATTAACTTAGGTATTTGGATACATCTTAAATACAATGGGTCTCGCAACCCCCTCAACTCAAGATACAAAGGATAAAGTGTTTGAAAATAAATATACACTCTCAAATTATGGATATACAACTTGAAGCACTATGGCTATATGGATTTTCACAATATGAGCTCAAATATGTTTGATCTTTGAAAGATATGAGAGAATATGCAAATGAAAGTGTAGAAGCTCTCAAAGTAGGCTTAAGATATGTAAAAGTGATGTCCAACACATTTTAGAGTCATTGGTAATCGATTACTAAATGGTGGGTAGTCGATTACCATATGCTGGCAATCGATTCCCAACCAGACAACAAGAATATTATTTCGTATTTTAGACATAACTTGAGTTATACTTGTCAGATTGATGTGATCTTGGTCTCGTTAGAAAGATAAAATAGAGATTTACAACTTCCATGAAGAATGCAATATCAAAATCCATCATCTTTGATATGAAAAATTGTCCATAAGACAAAAATCAAATCATGCAACAAATTTTAAGTTCAAATGTGTTATAACTTACTTCCAACCACTTTTCATGAAAGATCTTGACTTGATAAATATGTTTTGAAGTTATAAAATATGTCAATAATCTTTTCCATGGATTTTTCAAATTTATTTCATGTATATAAAAGTTATGAATTATGCAATTTGAAGGACAAATTTACTTTGAGTAAAACTTTGAGCTTGTATAATGCAATCTACCATATACTCTTACAATCATATCTAAGTCCTAAAGTGTAATCTAATAAGGAATTGGACTTAGCTTCTTATTTTGATTATTGGATCTTGATCCTCACTTGAGATTGATGCTTGACTTGTTGGTTTTGATCCTTTTTCACCATGATTATGATATTCAGCTTCTCTTAGATGTTGTTCATGATTTGTTTCCTTTCATCTTGGTTTTTCTCTTTTTATTCTTCTTTGTTTTTCTTGATCCAATGTTAGCTTTCTTTATATCTCATCCATGTTCTTGCCATTATGTATCTTTAATATTCATAAACGGTTGATGTTTTTTGCTCTTGATAAATGTTATTCTCTTTTTTGTTGTTGCTACTTTGTTATCATCAAAACATACCTTGTATCTACATCTACCACATCAAATCATATTTTTTTCTCAGCTTATTCACACTTGTTCGGTCCTGGATAGACCGTATTGCTATACCGTGAGGTATGCGCTCAGAAATAGTGTATATCAGATGTATACTAGGTTTATAGCCGAGGTCCCAATACCTGCGCACAAGCAATAGGCTTATAGCCAAGGGGTGGGTGTGTGCACAGTGTGGGCAATATTAGTAAACAGGTTAAAAGTGTTTACCTGGGGTCCTTAGGCTCTTATTTATAGGGATTACCTTCCTTGGCTTGGGCCTTTTGAGCTCCCCCAATTGCAATAGGATTCAACTCATTTTCTGTTGGGATGTGATCCTTATCTTGTGCCCTTTGACTGTTTAGAGTTGTTGAGATGCTTATGACTCTATCTCTTAGTAGATTCCTAGGTGGGTAGTTAGGATATGATATTCATATCCATAACAGTTGCCCCCCAGCTCGGTATTTCGAGACTTGGAATACCGAGGTGCTGTTATGTCACCTCGGATCTGGTTCGTCCGAGTTCATTGGTTTCGAAATTGTGTCTTTGAAAGCTTGACTTCTGTGACTACTCGGAATTAATTTTGCCGAGGTCTTTTGCATAACTTTTCTTGTTCTTCCTTGGCATTGCGTACGAAGTTGATTTTAACCATGTCGGATTTTTCATGAGTCCATTTTATGCCTTTAGG